CCAGAGTCACTGTATGACACAGCAAATCAATTCTAGGTAAAAATCAAAGAGAACTGAAAGCAAATGTCCACATAATAACTTTTAAATTAATGCTTATAGCATTAATTCATTATTCATTATAACCAAAAGTAGAAACAGACCCAAATGTCTATTCACCCATACAGTGTGTTAATCAAAACAAATTTATGTTTTGTAGTATTCAGCAGTAAAAAGGAATGTGTTCATCCACAACATGGATGAACCTTGAAAATTATACTGAATGAAAGAAGATAGACACAAAAGGATATATATTAATTAATTCTGTTTATATTAAATATCCAGAACAGGCAGATCTATAAAGATAGAAAGTTGACTAGTGGTTGCCAAGGACTGGAGGGAGGAAGGGAGAGGAAATGATTACCAGTAAATAACAGGTTTCCATACAGGGTGATAGAAATGTGAAAATATTGCAGAATTAGATAGTGGTAATGATTATACAATCTTTGAATATATTACAAAGTCCTGAACTGTATACTTTAAAAGATGAGTATTATGGTGTGTGAATTACTATAGAAAGAAACATTCAGAGAGCAAGAGTTTTGGAAAATGAAAATATGAAGGATTGAGAAAACCTATCAGAACCCAGGAAAATAATACAAAAGATAGTAAATAGAGAAAGTTTAAGAAAAATTGAAAGTCAACCTAGGAGTTCACTGTACAATTAATAAGAGTTACAGAATAAGAAAACAAAGAACACTGAATGGAGGAAATAATTTCTTAACTTACACACACAAAAATATCCCAAATCATGCTGCGTATGAAAAACATATGTCTCAAGATAGACAAATCTCACTGAATATCCAGCACAATGAATGACAAAATTCTTACACTATGACACATAATCAAGAAACTCTAGAAACACTGGTGATAATATATATATATAATAACCCAATTTCACTAGAGTAAGTAGGGTCATCCTCCACATTATTGGCATTTGGGGTTCTAGAGCATTTGGGGTTCAGGCCCCCATTCATGGGGTGCTGTCCTGTGTATCATAGTTTAGCAGCATCCCTTGTCTGTATCCATAAATGCCAGTAGCACCATGTTCTCTGTATGTGACAAACAAAGATGTTTTCATTGCTCTAGATTGATAATCAGGGATGGGTGGGGGGAACACAGGTGTCAGGAAAGAATGGGTAATCAAAGTGTTGAACATCTCAATATTAGAGACTCAAAGTAAATGAAGACATACTAGCAGTAGATAACTCCTTACCTATTATTCCACACTCAACAAAACCATCAAGTGAACATTTGATTTTATGTCACCTGAAATTTTCAGATGTTCAAGTTCTCAATAAATTAATCATCAAATATTCTTCAAAATATAGCATGAGTACACCCAAGAGGAAGGCATAAAATCCACAAAATGAAATCAAACACAGGAAAGAGATAAAAGAAATTCTCAGGGTGATGGGTAAAGCAAGTCCTAAACTGCCTTTGGTACCAAGAGAGCAAATTATTCAATGAGACAGAAGCCTACATAGTTCCCACATGGCTTTAAAAATTGTGGAAACGAGTGATTTCTTTATGAGTTTAACAATATATTAAAGAGATTAAGAACTTAGAAAATATGGTGATAACTTAAAAATATGTACATAGAAAAAGAGAGAAAATGAGGCAGTAATTTGGGGGAAGGAAAGAAACAAGATCTGTGCATCAGGAGGCTCAGGTGTAGTAAGTGATATTTACATTGTCATGATTATGTAAACACTATTTAAACAGGATGGTAATATTGCTATGAGAGAGCATGAGATAGAGGAACTGTGCAAGTGTGTGTGTATGCCACTTAGGAAAGAAGTGAATAATATCTAAAACTAATTTGAGAGAAAGCATTTTACAAGTAGATTATTTAGAAATATGGAAGTAGGTATGGAAAAAGTTGAATTTTAAAAAATGCTACCTTTGAATTAAAGTGGAAAAATTATAGCATTCTGTAATTTTAGATTAAATATGAAAAACAAAATGCCTAAGCAATCATGGGAATTATCTTCTTAAATGCACTGTAAATGCTATAAACATGGATGAGGTACTTATATAAAAATGTATAAAGTAAAGTGAGGAGGGAGAAAGTGTAAGAATGTTTTTAAGCAGGCCATTTAGTGGTACTAGTATCTTAAATATGCATCACAATCTTGTTCTTTAATAATGTAGGGATCATTTATATAAGCTTAAGCAAGTTGTATAGTTTGCAATTTTGTTTTATTGTATTTAAGTAAAACCTGATTGTATTAATTATAAAGTTAGCAATTTATTATAGATTAATTTTTAAAGATTTATTTTTTGTTTATGCATACAAGAACTGGGTGTAGGCCAGAGGGTGGGGAAGGGTGAGAGGATTCATCAGGGACAGAGTGGGGAGCAGAACACACGGATCTATGGAGGAGTGGAGGAGCAGATGAGACAGGAGAGGTCTGCTGCTCTGAGGCTCGAACTCATGCCACAGTGACTGGCGAGAACTTGACAGCGCTGATACTTAACCCCTGTGCTACCAAGAGGGCCCTATAAATTAATTTTTAAAAGTTATTTCCATCTATTAACTTATAAACAACCATAGAAATATTTTGGAATGATGTTCATAATATTAATAATTATTTATTATGATGGAATAATAATGTTAATTTACTTTCATTTTCTTATTGAGTACTGTGACTATATGTTATTAAAAAATGAGAATAAATACTTCCATACCAAAACCATTTATTATGAAAAAGTAATCATAAGTCTACCAATATTATCTTTACCATTTTTACTGTTTAACTGGGGTTGATCATTTAAATAATATCAATTTTGAGAAAAAATACTCAGAAAATGGCCAATAAAATACTGCTTTCTGTGATGGTAACAAGTGTTTTGGAAGGAACGCTACAAAAATCTGACAGTTAATGGAATTACATTAACTGGAAATGATGTATAAGCTGAAAGCAATCATTTACAATAATTAGATTCATGCACCTGATAATAAAACATGATTCTCTTAATCATAAAAAGATATCACTGAACAAGGTCAACTATCAGAACCCTGAAAACATGTAAATTTTGAGAATTTGACTCCCCGTGCACCTGAGAAACACCATTTCTTTGCTATTGTATGAACATGCAAAATGTATGATGTTAAAAACAAGCAAACAGCCCAGATTTACGGGATGCAAAATATATCAGCAGATTTAACTAATTATAAATATGACAATAATTATGAATACGGGAAACAGTAAGCTCATTATGTAAATGAAAAGGTTAGGAATTATACATTAGTGAATATTATCATTTACCAAATCTTGTCAAAGTGAGATTCCTAATTGGACCCAAAATGATTTCTGAAGTTAGCATTTACCTCAATGTCCTGAACAGCTGGTTCACCCAGGAAGTTGGGGAGAATGGGCTTGAGGAACTTGAACTCGTTGGTCCCTGAGCCCCCCGTCAGGCACACCTCATACTGGTAGCTGTGGGACAGCGTCCCGGCGCCGCCCACGTCCACCAGGCGGCCCGGGAAGGGGCCGTCGGGCCCCAGCGAGCCCGCGCGCGCGCCGGCCCCGCGCCTCCCGCACAGGCGCGCGGCCGCGAAGGCGAGCGCGCACAGGAGGAAGAGCGACGACACGGCGGCCAGCGCCACCACCAGGGACGCGGTGAGGCGGTCGGCCTGCGCGGCGGGCGGCGGCGCGTCGGGCGGCGGCAGGTAGGGCTGCGAGAAGCCGTCGACCAGCAGCACGTGCAGCGTGACGCTGGCCGACAGCGGCGGCTCGCCGTTGTCCTTGACCAGCACGACCAGCCGGTGCTTGGGCGCGTCGCGCTCGCCCAGCGGCCTGGCGGTGCGCACCTCGCCGTTGTGCGCCCACACGCCGAACAGCCCGGGCTCCGTGGCCCTGAGCAGCTGGAACGACAGCCAGGCGTTCTGGCCCGCGTCGCCGTCCACCGCCACCACCTTGGTGACCAGGTAGCCCGCGTCGGCCGCGCGCGGCACCAGCTCGGGGCAGGGCGCCGAGGCGTTGGGCGGCGGGTAGAGCACGGAGGGCGCGTTGTCGTTGGCGTCCTGCACCACGACGCGCACCCGCGCCTGGCCGCTGAGCGCGGGCGAGCCGCGGTCCGTGGCGCCCACCAGGAAGTCGAAGGCGCGCAGCGCCTCGTAGTCGAGCGAGCGCAGCGCGAACAGCTGGCCGGTGTCGGCGTTGACGGCCACGAGCGCGGCGGGCGGCGGGTGCGCGCGGCCGGCGGGCAGCAGCGAGTAGGTGAGCTGCGCGTTGGAGCCCGCGTCGGCGTCGGTGGCGCGCACGCTGCCGATGTGCAGCGCGGGGCTGTTGTTCTCGCGCACCAGCAGCGTGTAGGCGCTCTGGCTGAAGGCGGGGCGTTGTCGTTCACGTCGGACACCAGCACGGTGATGTGGTGCTGGGTCCTCAGCCTGGGGGTCCCCAAGTCCGTGACGGTGATCGTGATGTTGTACTCGGCCTGCCTTTCTCTGTCCAGCGCTCCCTCTGTCACCAGTGTGTAGAAGTTCTTGAATGTGGGTTTTAGGAGAAAGGGGAGATCGTTCTGAATGGAACAAACCATCCTACCGTTGTCCTCGGAATCTGGATCAGAAACACTGAAAACAGCAACTACAGTCTCTGGCGAGTTTTCTGGGATGGAACTGGAGAGCGTGGACATGGTCAGTTCAGGGGCATTGTCATTTACATCCACCACCTCTATTGCTACAGTGCATTTTCCTGCAAGACCCCCGCCATCTGTGGCTGCAATTTCCATATTGTAATAGCGAGTTGTCTCGAAATCCAATGTCCTTTTCAGACGAATTTCTCCTGTTATCTCGTCAATTACAAATGGCTGTGTAACTTCAGCGCCTTGCAATAGTGCATAGATTACATTCCCATAGGCTCCTACATCTAAATCTTGGGCAGAGACAGTGACAACCAAGGAGTTTAGGGGGCTGTTCTCGGGAACCTGTACCTCATAGAGCGACTGTAAAAACTCAGGGGCATTGTCATTGATGTCCAGGACCTCAATGAGGACTGCAGTGGTCCCGGACCTGGGTGGAGCTCCTCCATCCAGCGCCGTGAGGATAAAACTGAACTGCGGCTGCTCCTCCCGATCCAGCGCTTTGTCCAGCACCAACTCTGGGTATCTTCTGCCATCTCCGCGGTTATGAGTGACAACATGAAAATGGGAGTTGGGGCTGATTGTATAGTTCTGAACAGTGTTGTTACCTATGTCAAAGTCCTGAGCTAATTTCAAAGGAAACACAGTCCCTGGCAGGACGTTTTCTGTGATTTTTAGGAGCATTTCACGCTCTAGGAACTCTGGGGAATGGTCATTTATGTCTGTGAGCTGCAGATCACCTTGAAAAAACTGCACCGGGCTTTCCAGTAACAGTTGGAAATGCAATATGCAGGGATCTGTCGCCCCACACAGCATCTCCCGGTCTAATTTTTCAAATAGAAGCAAATTACCGGTCTTTGTATCGAGCTGAAAGAGCTGTTTGTTTCCTTTGTAATGGATTCGCGCACCCCTTGTGGCTAGTTCCCTCACCCTGAGCCCCAGGTCTTTTGCCAGGTTGGCCACAATGGAGCCACTTTCTGTTTCTTCTGGCATGGAATATCTAATTGTTTCAGAGGCAGCCTCCCTCAAAAGCAACAATATAGCAAGAAAGATAACTTGCCTTTTCCGTGGCTTTTTTGCTAGCGCAGTCTCCATTGGTCAGGTCCGGTCCAAGAAGGTGCAGTTTCTTCAATTCCGTGTACAGTTGATCCAGATTGCTCGTTAAATAACCTCGAATTAAATCTTTCTGACTGACTTGCACCTAGAACGATGCCCTCTGAAGATTTTTTTCCCCTAGATCTTACCTAAAAACACTTCCTTCTTTTGGGAAGCATTCAGAGTTTTGATTCCCAGCTTAATGGCGACCGGGGTATCCACTGTGCCTTCATTCATACGCTTAGCCTGCAGCGCCACCAGGCGTCCACATTTACTATTGCATATAGTATTTACCATTTAATTCCAAACATGAATTCTGTTAACCTTTTAAGTCACAGAAATTATCCCAACTATAATTCCAATTCTTATTTATTGGAAGTTCTAAATAAATATTTGCTGAGTTAACTTTCAGTTGAAAAATACTTTTAGAACAAACTAAAACGCTGTGTTAGTTTTCCTCATGAAAGTATGTTTGAGTACAGGAAGAAACTTTCTGTTGTGGATTTACTTAATTATATCAAGAAGTATGTGGTTTACAAGCTATAAAAAAATCACTTCATTTTGAAATATCAATCAGAAAATGTAATGTTTCTTTCACTTAACATTACATTTGTTACATGCAGTTGTAAAACCTACTAACTTATTCTCACTGCTTTTTATTATTCTGTTACATGATACCACAATTTGTTTATCCATTCTCCAATTGATGGACATTGATTGGGGTTTTCCATCTGGGGATATTTTGAGTGATGCTGCTACCCACATTCTTGTACTTGTCTTATGTTGTCTATTCATTCATGTTGAATATATTCCTAGGAGTTACATTGTTGTGTATTAAGATGTACACATAATTTTAGCTTTAGTAGATATTGCTAAAACAGTTTTCAAGTGTGATTTATCGAAACCAGCAAGAATGAGAGTTCCAGTTGCTCCTTAGCTTTGTCAACATTTGATACTATCTTTTAATTTAAACTACTTTGGTGAGTGTATGGTGATATTGTATTAGATAACTTTAATTGGTATTTCCATGATTAATTAAATTGAGCACATTTTCACATGTTTATTGGTCAGTGGGATACATTCTTTTGAAGTGCCTATCAAGTATTTTTGTCTGTTTCTCTACTTAGGACATTATCTCTTTTCTTATTGGCCTTTTGAAGTTCCTTATACGTTCTAAATATGTCTCCTTTTTCAATTGCAAATATCTTCTCCCACTCTATGGCTTGCACCTGAAATGTCATGTAGTGTCTTTGGTGAACAAAACTTGACCTTAATTTAGCCTAATTTTTCAATATTTTCACTCATGGATAGGACTATTTGTGCCCTGTTTAAATCTTTGCATACCCCCATGGTCATGAAAATATTCTTGTGTTGGTATATTTTGAAAATTTATTTTACTTTTCACACTTAGTGATATAATCTTTCTGAATTAATTTTTTTCATATGAATTAAGTTCAGGTCAAAAAATGACTTTTTTTCACATAAATCTCTCTAAACGACTACACCATCTATGAAAAGGTGACCCATTCTGCATTGCTTCTGAAGTGTCATTTTGGCATAAGTCTACTGACCAAAGTTCTGTTCAAGACTTTTTTCCATTTTCTCTTTATTTATCCTGCAAAACCATATTGACTTTATTACTAAAGCTTTATAATAGGTTTTATTATCTGATAGGTAAGTCCTTCAGTTTTGTTCTTTTTCTTCAAGATTGTGTTGATTGTTGTCCTTTTGTATCTCCATATAAATTTTAGGTTCAGTTTGACAATTTTCACCAAGAAATCTGATGAAATTTTGTTTATGATTTCATTGTATCTATTGACTGGTGAGAACTGACATTTCCCCAACATTGAGTCTCTAAAATATTGAACATTATATAATCTCTATTTATTTAGATATATACAACTTTTCCCAATAATACTTTATACTTTTCAATGTAGAAGTCTTAAGCATATTCTGGTGTTTCTAGATACCTGTTATTTTTGAAACTATTACAAATGAGATTCAACATTTTAATGTTCATTTTTGCTGTACAAAAATATAATTTATATTGTATGTTGACCTTATTATATTCAGTAGAATTGCTAACTTCATTTACTCATTCTAACAGATTCTTAATTATGTGTTTGTTTACAAATCATCTCATCCTTTAAAAAAGACATTCTTATTTCTTCATAGCCAGTCATTGTGCCTTTTATTATTATTATTTTTTGCCTTCTTTCACTCTTTAGCATCTATAGTAAAATAGTACAAGCAGGCATTCTTATTTCATTCCTGATCCATGAGAGTTTTCAGTAATCTACCATCAAGGTGATGTTTACCATAGATTTTAAAATACAATGTGAACTGCCCTTCTATTTTCAGTTTGCTGTTTTACCATAATGCATGCTGAATTTTATCAACTGACCTTTATCTGTATCTTTTGAGATAATTACATTTTTCTCCTTTAGTTGTTATTGTGATGAATTACATGATTTTTATTTTTTAAGTTTTTTTAAAAAGATTTATTTATTTATTATTTATACAGGCACTGGGTATAGTCAGAAGCGTGGGAGGGTGAGAGAATTCACCAGAGCCAGAGTGGGGAGCAGAGCAGGCAGAAGGACTGAAGTACACTGCTGAGGGGAGTAGCGGGCACGGCAGGAGAGGTCTGCGTGCCATGTGGGACCCTCCTCCGGTGGCCGGGGAGCAGTTGGGGATCGAACTGGTGCTGCAGAGACTGCGGGCAGCTTCGCAACCCAGTGCTCAACCACTGCGCCACCGGGAAGGCCCTATTTTTTTAAATTTTTTGAAGATTTATTTATTTATGCATACAAGAACTGGGGTACAGGCCAGAGGTGTGGGGGGTGAGAGGCTTCACCAGAGACAGAGTGGAGGAACATAAAAGGCAGATTGACTGAATGCACTGCTGAGGGGAGCAGTGGGCGAGTCAGGAGAAGGTATGCTGTGCCATGTGGGTAGCTCCCTGAGCGGTGATCAAACTCATGCTGCAGTGGTTGTGGATAGCGTCATAGGTTGCGTCTTAGCCCCTTGCGCCACCAGGGAGGCCCTGGTTGGTTTTTAAATATTAAGTTGCAATTGTGTTCCTGAAACAACCCCATTTTATTATTCCTATTTTATATGTTTCTCCTATCAAAGAAAACCAGACCCCACCCTGCTTAGCTTCCAAGATCAGGCATGTTCAGGGTGGTGTAGCTCTAGATACTTATATATTTCTGAACTTGTTGCTATTTTGTTTGAAAATTTTCCAACTTTTTATAAAAGAGATTGGCCTGTCATTTTTCTTTCTCATAATGTCTTATTCAAGGGTGGATGTCATAACCCATTCAAATTAGGCTAGCACACAAATGAGAAATAGCTAGCACACAAACTGAGAAATAGTTCCTATTTGTTCTGTTCTCTCAAAGAGTGCATAAAAACTGGTGCTAATTTTTCAAAATTATTTCAAAGTGTTAACCAGTGTGAATTGGAGTAGCTAGATTTTTAATAACTAATTTACTTACTAGAAATGACTAATCAGGTTTTCTATTCTCATTTCCCTTTTGATAAATTATGGTTTTAATAAATGTTCTAAATGTTCTTCATTTTACATAAATTGTGAAATTTATTGTCATAAAGCTGTTCATAATATCCCTTTTATATTTTTAATGTCTGTAAGGTTGGTAGTGATGTCCCTTTTTCATTCCTAATATTGAAGTGTCTTTTCTTTTAGTCTTGATTGTTCTGACTCAGAGATTTGTTTTATTAATCATTACAAAGAGCTAATTTTCAGCTTTATGGATTTTCTCTGTTATACTTTCATCTTCTATTTTATATATGTATATGTATACTGTTTGTTACTTTCTTCCTTATTTTCATTTGACTTGTTCTTTTTTAGTTTCTTTAGATGAAAACTTAGATTACTGATTTTCAGTCTTTCTTTTCTAACATGTGCATTTTAAGCTTGAAAATCTCTAAGCCCTGTTTTGAGATATAAAATCTTAATTTTTACCTAGTTTAAAAATATATACACATGGGCCTCCCCGGTGGCGCAGCGGTTGAGTGCTGGGTTGCGAAGCTGCCAGCTTCTGCAGCGCCGGTTCGATCCCCAGCTGCTCCCTGGCCACCGGAGGAGGGTCCCACATGGCAAGCAGACCTCTCCTGCTACCCACTGCTCCCCAGCATACTTCTGTCCTTCTGCCTGCTCTGCTCCCTGCTCTGGCTCTGGAGAAATCTCTCACCCACCCATGCTTCTGACTGCACCCAGTGCTTGTATAAATAAATAAATAAAAATAAATCTTTAAAAAATATATATATGGATATTTCTGCTTTGATTTCCTCTTTGAGCCAAGGATTATATTATTTAGTTTGAGAACTTTTGGGGATTTCTTGTTACAATTTTATTTCTGTCTTAATTCTGCTGTGAATAAAGACCATACTCTCTAAGTCATTTCAATTCTTTAAAAAAAAAATTGTGGCTTGCCTTGGACCCATAATTTGATAATATGCACATAAAGAGATGTATATTCTCCTGTTTGTTATATATATTAATGTATTAAAATAGAATTACTGTGTTGTTCAGATCTTTGATATTCTTAGTGTACGTGTCCTTTTTTTTTATTAGGTTTCTACAGGATTGATTTAAGTTCTCTGTTATGATTGTGGATTTGTCTGTTTCTCATTTAGGTTCTCTCAGTTTCATGTTAATCTTCTCTGTATTGTTCTGTGCTTCCAAAGTGAGCATGAATATTCTTTCTATATTCTTCATTATTCGTTTCTCTGTGAGTCTAATTGGATATTTTATATGGACTTATCTTGCATTCACTTTTCCTACATCCCTTCATGCCCACTATGTCATTATCATATACATGCTTTTTAATTTCAGAAATTATCTTTTTCAGTTTGAGAATATCCATTTGTAAAGTTCAATTATCTGATGAAATTCCCTATTTTTAAAGTTTAGTTTCTCTACTCCTTATTTTAAGCTTATTAGTCATACTTATTTTAACATCATTGTCAGTTGATTCTAATTATCTGTTTCATCTATTGGTCATTTGTATTGTCTGTTTGTTCTATAGGTCTTATTCATAGCTAGTTGTGTGTGTGTGTGTGCCTAATAATTTTTTACTGAATGCTGAATATGTAAAACTCGGTCCATGATTCAACTGATACTATCCTTCCTCTTTTGTAGCCTGAGAGTCAGGCCTAATCAAATTGCCTTAATTCAAACAGGTTCTGTTCTTAGTTAAGGTTCTTTGCAGCCCTGATAGGCACTTTTTCCTCCAGAATTTTCAATTAAAAACTTACTGTATAGGGCCTCCCCGGTGGCGCAGCGGTTGAGCGCTGGGTTGCAAAGCTGCCCGCAGCCTCTGCAGCACCGGTTTGATCCCTGGCCACCAGGGTGAGGGTCCCACATGGTGCGCAGACCTCTCCTGCCACCTGCTGCTTCCCTCAGCAGTGTACTTCATCAGTCTGCCTGTTCTGCTCTCCCCTCTGGCTCTGGTGAATTCTCTCACCCTCCCTCACTTCTCTGACTGTACCCAGTGCTTGTATAAATAAATAAATAAATCTATAAAAAAAAAACAACTTACTGTATGTTCCATAGTCCCTTCCCACAGTGGGTCCCAAACACTAATCTATGTGCAGCCAGACTATTAAAACTTCACTATGTTTTCCAGAAATTTTCCACTTATGTTTTTAGTCTCCTTCCCTGAATGCCCCAGGGAGGCACTGATGAGTATCCTGAGAACTGACCCTAAGCCTGAATACTCTGATCTGTCAATGTCTTCTGAAGTTACTGTTCCTGGCAGGAGTATTTTGTCTGTTCTCCATCTTAGCAAATTTCCTCAGAGAAAACTGACTGTAGGAGTCAGTCAGTCAGTCCTTTTTAGGCATCTTAGTTCCTTCAGATCTTATTATACCATCTGCTATCTGTTGGTTCAAATAGATAAATATTAACCATTTTTTATAGTTAGATAATCTATGTAACCTAGAAGCAAAATTCATCAAATATGTGTGTAACTTTTAACCTCAGACTTTATAAAATCTCCATTTTGTAACTTTTGGTAGTAAAAGGAGGGGTTCTTAAAGTGATGTGGGTTACACTGCCTTCAGTAGAATTTCTGTCCCCCAGAAAGCATGTGTTAAAAAAAAAAAAAAAAAAAAAAAAAAAAAGCATGTGTTAAACACATTATATTCTGTTCCTAAAAATGCCCAAAAAGAAACTATAAAATATGCATATATAATACAAGCATTTGGGAAATATATGATAGAACTGCATCTTTATTTTTAAGATTTGGTCTCTGTTCTCTATTTTTGGTTTGTAACAATAGAATTGAACTATTTTTCATGAAGGATACATTTTGTGAAAGTTGTTTGAATCATGTTTACTAATAATTTCTAATTTCATTGCATTTCAAGATGTTGGTCTATTTTACACAAAAGTCTGGTGCTGACTAACTGGTAAGGAACACTGCATGCTTTATGTCTACATATAGCAATTCATAAAGTAATGCACAAAGGGATTCCTCAGTTTACACACACGTATTAACAAAAATGGGTTGTGGGTAATTATTCAACTGGTCTCATTTGGATAGTTATACAAATTAGACTTTCCTTGCATAAACAAAAAAATATAGTTGAATTTTCATAATGCTCAAATAAATTTGTGAAAAATTTAGTCAAATATCTTGCCCCTACACAGAAAAGCAAAGTAATGAATAATAAATGGAGAAGTCATTAAAGTTAACTACCATATTTATGTCTTGTATATTTGTTTTTTTTTAAAAGATTTATTTTTATTTATTTATACAAGCACTGGGTAGAGTCAGAAGCGCAGGAGGGTGAGAGAATTCACCAGAGCCAGAGGGGAGAGCAGAGCAGGCAGACTGACGAAATACACTGCTGAGGGGAGCAGTGGGCGGCAGGAGAGGTCTGCGCACCATGTGGGACCCTCGCCCGGCAGCCGGGGATCGAACCGATGTTGTAGAGGCTGCATGCAGCTTCGCAACCCAGCGCTCAACCGCTGCACCACCCGGGAGGCCCATTGTATATTTGTTTTTAATTCTGCTCCCTTTATTTTGGCTGAAGAATGAGTCTTCATTTTTCTAATGTTATCACTTTCTCATTTAAATTTTTGGATTGGATGAAGGCCAAAACTTTGTTTCCAAAATAACTTAAACAGTCACTAATGTTGCTTTTTAAAATTTCATTGTATTCATAGGGGAGAAAGTACTTCAGGGAGGCCAATATTTAAATTTCAGTAGAATGACACTTAAAATATAAAAATATTTAGATTATAAAGCAAGATTTTCAATTGCTCACTTGTGCTAAAAGTTCAACTAAGTGGACTGATAACATATCCATATAAATTTAGTTTGAACTCTCAAAATCAATGTAATTGACTTATTGAACACAGCATAAAACAATAATAGTTTAGATAAGTTCATTTCTTATCTTATTTAGTTTCTATTCTTACTGTTCTAAAAGATAAAATAATGCTTATTTCTTATAAATGAAACCAGTATAGTTGAAAATTAAGTTTACACAGAATACCTGAAAGCTACATCAAAGAACAAAACAAAAGATAACTTTGACATCAAAACTAAGTTATTTATTGATAATGGCTGTCCATGTTTACAAAATAATTTTGAGTGAAAACTTGATATGAAAATCAAACTTGATAGGATAACCAAAATTCATAAGATTTTCTCTGATTGCCTTTGAAAGATGAGGGAGGCTACAGGAAGAGCAAGAGAAATATGTACATTAAACTACACTTGAACTTATATTTCTAGGGAAGAAGGAAGGACAAGGGAGTATATGATACTCTCCAGAGTCTTTAAACCTTCATAAAGGTTTAAAGTTATGAGATTTTTAAAAGGATTATTACCAAACAACGACCTGGTTTTATTAAATATGAAATTAAATAAAGACTTTTTTCATTATTATTTATAAATGAGAATAATGTAAAATTTTAATTTTATTATTAATGAAGTACTTACTCTATTCTGGGTATATAATAGCCAAGTAAATAATACAATCTCTAGCATAAATGACACTCACCATGGGAGATCACAATATTGTATCAATATGTACATAAGCATGTTTATGTATAATTTGGGAGAAACAAATACGTTCAGGGGCAAAGCCTGGACGGGAAGTCAACAAGAAATCCTAGATGGCTATAAGAATCACTCTGGCCTTGCAGAGATGAAGCTATCTGGTAAAGACAAGCACCACAATATACAGCAATGCAGATTACATAAAAGCTTTAAAATACTTCTAAAGATACAATAACTAATCAAGAAGTTGGTTTTAAAATTCCTTCTTATACTACTTGGGTAAATTGTAGTTATGGAATGGTTACTAACCAAGAAAAAGTCAAATAAGAAGAAAATACTCAATATCCTGTACAACTAAAAAAATGCTAAGTGTAATACATATTAAAAAGGAAGAAAGTGTGATTAGAGACATGTATGGGTTTACAGTAGACATACATTCACAACAGTACAATTTCTTAAAAGAAAGACAATGCAAAGGAGTTTACCAAAATTAAGAAGGTCACTTGGCAAAAATACAGAATTTAAGTGAATACAAAACTATTCCTGCAATTGGGGTTTTCCTTATTTTCACTCTCAGTATCCAAAGGTTGGGGAATATTGGCTTCAGGAATTTGAACTCACCAGTCCTGGGTTCCCCCGTCAGGCACACCTCATACTGGTAGCTGTGGGACAGCGTCCCGGCGCCGCCCACGTCCACCAGGCGGCCCGGGAAGGGGCCGTCGGGCCCCAGCGAGCCCGCGCGCGCGCCGGCCCCGCGCCTCCCGCACAGGCGCGCGGCCGCGAAGGCGAGCGCGCACAGGAGGAAGAGCGACGACACGGCGGCCAGCGCCACCACCAGGGACGCGGTGAGGCGGTCGGCCTGCGCGGCGGGCGGCGGCGCGTCGGGCGGCGGCAGGTAGGGCTGCGAGAAGCCGTCGACCAGCAGCACGTGCAGCGTGACGCTGGCCGACAGCGGCGGCTCGCCGTTGTCCTTGACCAGCACGACCAGCCGGTGCTTGGGCGCGTCGCGCTCGCCCAGCGGCCTGGCGGTGCGCACCTCGCCGTTGTGCGCCCACACGCCGAACAGCCCGGGCTCCGTGGCCCTGAGCAGCTGGAACGACAGCCAGGCGTTCTGGCCCGCGTCGCCGTCCACCGCCACCACCTTGGTGACCAGGTAGCCCGCGTCGGCCGCGCGCGGCACCAGCTCGGGGCAGGGCGCCGAGGCGTTGGGCGGCGGGTAGAGCACGGAGGGCGCGTTGTCGTTGGCGTCCTGCACCACGACGCGCACCCGCGCCTGGCCGCTGAGCGCGGGCGAGCCGCGGTCCGTGGCGCCCACCAGGAAGTCGAAGGCGCGCAGCGCCTCGTAGTCGAGCGAGCGCAGCGCGAACAGCTGGCCGGTGTCGGCGTTGACGGCCACGAGCGCGGCGGGCGGCGGGTGCGCGCGGCCGGCGGGCAGCAGCGAGTAGGTGAGCTGCGCGTTGGAGCCCGCGTCGGCGTCGGTGGCGCGCACGCTGCCGATGTGCAGCGCGGGGCTGTTGTTCTCGCGCACCAGCAGCGTGTAGGCGCTCTGGCTGAAGGCGGGGGCGTTGTCGTTCACGTCGGACACCAGCACGGTGATGTGGTGCTGGGTCCTCAGCCTGGGGGTCCCCAAGTCCGTGACGGTGATCGTGATGTTGTACTCGGCCTGCCTTTCTCTGTCCAGCGCTCCTCTGTTACTAAGGTGTAGAAATTTTCTGCTGTAAGTTTCAGACGGAAGGGGAGATGATCCTGGATGGAACACATCATTTTGCCATTGTCCCCAGAATCAGGATCTGAAATTCCGAAAATAGCGACCACGGTGTCTGGGGAGTTTTCTGGAATATCACTGATGAGTAATGACACGGTTAGTTCAGGGGCATTGTCGTTTACATCCATTACTTCTATGGCTACCGTGCATTTTCCTGAAAGGCCCCCACCATCTGAGGCCTCAATTTCCAGAAGGTAAGATTGAATGTCCTCATAATCCAATACTTTTTTAAATCGAATTTCTCCCGTGTCTGGGTTTATTTCAAAAGCCTGGATGATTTGATTTGAAGATTGGAAAAATGAGTATGACAGCTGTCCATAGGACCCAGCATCTAAGTCTTTAGCAGAGACTGTAGTGACAAGGGAGCCAATAGGGCTGTTTTCTGAAACCTGCACTTCATAGAGCAGCTGAGCAAATTCCGGGGTGTTGTCATTTATGTCTAGCACTAAGATGAGAACCTGGGAAGTCCCAGTCCTGGGTGGAGACCCACCGTCCAGTGCAGTGAGGGTTAACCTGAGCTCTGGCTGCTCCTCCCTGTCCAGCGCTTTGTCCAGCACCAGCTCTGGGTATTTCCTGCCATCTTTGTGATTACGAGTGAAAAGATGGAAATGAGAGTTGGTGCTAATTGTGTAGTTCTGAACTGTATTGCTGCCCACGTCTAAATCTTGAGCTATTTTCAAAGGAAATGCAGTCCCAATATGGCTGCTTTCTGAGATTTTCAGGAGGATTTCATTGTCCAAGAATTCTGGGGCATGGTCATTTATGTCTTGGAGTAGTAATTCACCTTGAATAAACTGTACGGGGTTTTTCAGTAACACCTGGAAATGCAGTATACAGGGGTCCGTGTCACCGCACAACTCTTCCCGATCCAATTTTTCTTTTAGAAGCAAATGCCCACTGTTCTGCTCCAGCTGCAAATGCTGTTTATTTCCTTTGGAAATGATCCTGGAGCCCCGCGCAGCCAGCTCCCCTACACCAAGCCCCAGATCTTCTGCTAGGTTGGCCACAAAAGAACCAACGTCCCTCTCTTCTAGAACCGAATACTTAATGGTCGCACTGCCCACCTCCCACAGTAGTAATAGAATAATAATGGCGATCACTTGCCTTTTCTGCTGTGCTTTATGTAGCAGAGTCTCCATATTTCCACCAGCTCCAAAAGATGTAATATTAATGAAAGTAATTGCTTTGCTGCTAACGCTGCTATCTTGGTTCAGTAATCTTGAGTGAATTCACCTTAACACTGACATAACGGTAGCCACCTCTTTGAAATCTGTCCCCAGTGGTGTAAAATGTTTCCTTTGTGAGCTGCTAAAAAAATTGGTCGGCTGGAGTCTGCAGGTTTTCATTCTCTTAGTCTACAGCGCCACCAAGCGTTCTGTTGTGCAACTTCAGGTAGTTTTCATTTCAAAGGACAATGTATCCATAATAATGAAAAACACTTTTGGGTAATAGAGCATTATAAATTCTTCCTGCCCCTCTCCCCACCCATTATGCAGTCTTGTTAGGGTGGTTAACAAGTTGGGAAAGAAAAAACCACAATTTATCTATATTCATCTTCCTTATAAAGGTACTAGTTCAGTACACAAAATTCATTTTAAGACAAACTCACTCATTTACTCATTTAACAAGTAGTTCTCTGTGTAGAATTTTTTCCTACTCTCTGGAGATAAAATGGTAAACAAATTTTTTTACTCCTAGGGCCCTTACATTCTATTTTAAAATACTAACTTATTCGATTGTGTTAGAAGTTACAAATTTTTAAATCCAGTTTCTACTACCAAACAAATTACAATGAAAATTGTGAATTTTGGGGGTCAGTCTCTGGGCTACATAGGCACTGCAACTTTTTTCCTTCATAAATTTTTTGTGCAAAGCCCAGAAAATTTAGAAGAAATGACCACCTGTTTTACTAGAAAGCAATATAAGTTCACAATTCAGACAATGTTCTTCTATAAGCATGAAGAAGGCGATAAAGTCAATGAAGTTGAAGATATACTTTTTGTACATCCTCTGGAATTATGGAGATGTGGGTTATTAAAAAACACTAGTTCATCAACTAAAGTCATGTGGTTGGGGTGAGAGTAGCACAAGAAGCATTTCCCACAGTGGTAAACACTAGCCCAAGGAGCAGAGGGTAAATATTGGGGTTCCCTGCACTCATTGAACCAGTTGGGAATTATCTATGACAAGGATCATGGCAGGTCACTTACTGGACACAAACTAAGCCAAATATAATGTAGTGAAGTCCAGTTCCATTTTAAAAAAGGATAAAAATATTCACTAAATTATCACTATTAATTGCCTGATTCTGGTGAGATGTTGAAAAGGGGGATTTTTCATTTAAAAAAAATGCAAATATAACCAGCATAAGTAAGACCAAATGTGGGTTATATTATGAAAATAAATGATTTTATGGTTAATAAACATTTAAATGATTCATACACACAAGGCTAGAAAGGAAGGTCTAGGTCTAGGTCTAGGTCTGATAATACCTAATAGCCTGTTCAAATAACTTAGTTAGGTCTTGGCAGGTAATGTATGTATCGAAGCTTGAGAAAGTAGGAGGAGGAATTTGAAAAATTCAACTTGGAATTTACCAAATACATTTGGACTCTAAATTATTAAAGACAAGGTGATAAAACATTATCCACCATTATATATTCTGTAGTAGGGTTTAGGGTGATTGAGAGTATTTTCTGTTTAGAAAGTACTAAAGTTTATATTTGTTTGCAAGGGTATTATATTGTAGATATTATCGCCATTTCTGTACCATTAGAAATGTTGATAAATGTTTGCTAGATTTTGTTAACATTCCAATAATGAATTTAGAATAAATTATTGGAATGTTAAAAAAATCTATTCTAATTTCATTATTGGAATGTTAAAAAAAATCTAGCAAACATTTCTAATGGGCTTGTTGTTTTTTAAAAAGACCATTGCATTCTTATGTGTATATTCATAAAAAAAACATGTTGCAGGCCATTGTGGTAGCTGAAATACACATATGTGTGAATGCTTATCTCAGCATTTAGTCATCTTGCATTTATCATTAGTTTTTCATTACTAATAATTTATCATTAGTTTTTCACACTGTAGAAGTAACACCAAATAAGACTTATGTTGGTAGATTAAACATGACTCACTTTGAAAAATTCCTCTCTCAATATAGCAATAGTGATGACAGGTGTCACTGAAAGTTTGAAACACAAATTTATTTAAGAACTTTGAAAGGATAAATAGTTGAATTTCAAAATATCGAAATAGTAAAGATAAAATTAATTTTTATTCAGATTGTTGAATGAACTTGAGAGCAACTTAAAAAGAATTAGACTTATTAAACGGGAAATAATGTGTATGCCTAGTGTTTGACCCTAAAGAGGAGGAGTAATAATCAATGAACAGACCATTAATAACATGCACCAATAACATGTAATGTTGAGTTAAAGGAGATTTCTAACCTTACGAAGAAGGGCTTGGTAGAATAATACATACTTAGCTGAATGGGAAGTTATTCCGAAGGTCGGGGTTTTCCTCCATTTCCCTCCCAGGGTCCTGGGGAGGGAAGTTGGGGAGAATGGGTTTGAGGAACTTGAACTCGTTGGTCCCTGAGCCCCCCGTCAGGCACACCTCATACTGGTAGCTGTGGGACAGCGTCCCGGCGCCGCCCACGTCCACCAGGCGGCCCGGGAAGGGGCCGTCGGGCCCCAGCGAGCCCGCGCGCGCGCCGGCCCCGCGCCTCCCGCACAGGCGCGCGGCCGCGAAGGCGAGCGCGCACAGGAGGAAGAGCGACGACACGGCGGCCAGCGCCACCACCAGGGACGCGGTGAGGCGGTCGGCCTGCGCGGCGGGCGGCGGCGCGTCGGGCGGCGGCAGGTAGGGCTGCGAGAAGCCGTCGACCAGCAGCACGTGCAGCGTGACGCTGGCCGACAGCGGCGGCTCGCCGTTGTCCTTGACCAGCACGACCAGCCGGTGCTTGGGCGCGTCGCGCTCGCCCAGCGGCCTGGCGGTGCGCACCTCGCCGTTGTGCGCCCACACGCCGAACAGCCCGGGCTCCGTGGCCCTGAGCAGCTGGAACGACAGCCAGGCGTTCTGGCCCGCGTCGCCGTCCACCGCCACCACCTTGGTGACCAGGTAGCCCGCGTCGGCCGCGCGCGGCACCAGCTCGGGGCAGGGCGCCGAGGCGTTGGGCGGCGGGTAGAGCACGGAGGGCGCGTTGTCGTTGGCGTCCTGCACCACGACGCGCACCCGCGCCTGGCCGCTGAGCGCGGGCGAGCCGCGGTCCGTGGCGCCCACCAGGAAGTCGAAGGCGCGCAGCGCCTCGTAGTCGAGCGAGCGCAGCGCGAACAGCTGGCCGGTGTCGGCGTTGACGGCCACGAGCGCGGCGGGCGGCGGGTGCGCGCGGCCGGCGGGCAGCAGCGAGTAGGTGAGCTGCGCGTTGGAGCCCGCGTCGGCGTCGGTGGCGCGCACGCTGCCGATGTGCAGCGCGGGGCTGTTGTTCTCGCGCACCAGCAGCGTGTAGGCGCTCTGGCTGAAGGCGGGGGCGTTGTCGTTCACGTCGGACACCAGCACGGTGATGTGGTGCTGGGTCCTCAGCCTGGGGGTCCCCAAGTCCGTGACCGTGATCGTGATGTTGTACTCGGCCTGCCTTTCTCTGTCCAGCGCTCCCTCTGTTACTAAAGTGTAGAAATTCTCGACTGATGGTTTTAGAACAAAGGGGAGATTGTCATCAATAGAACAGACAACCTGTTGGTTTTGCCCAGAGTCTGCATCTGATACACTGAAGACTGCCACCATGATCTCTGGCACGTTTTCAGGGATGGGGCTGATGAATGAGGACATGATCAATTGGGGGGCATTGTCATTCATGTCCAGGACCTTGATGACTATTGAGCATTTTCCAGATAGTCCCCCACCATCTATGGCTTCCACATCCACGTGATAAAATTGTAATTCCTCAAAATCCAACATCCTTCTCAGTCGAATTTCTCCTGTAATTGAGTTTATTTCGAAGGGCTGATTAACGTCATCAACTTGAAATAGGGCATAAGATACCTCCCCAAAGGATCCTGCATCTAAATCTCTTGCAGAGATGGTGATAACCAGAGAGCCAAGGGGTTTGTTTTCAGGGATCTGCACCTCATAGAGCTCCTGAGCAAACTCGGGGGCGTTATCGTTGATGTCCAAGACCAGGATCTGAATCTTGATAGTTCCAGACCGTGGCGGAGACCCGCCATCCAGCGCTGTGAGGGTTAGCCTGAGCTCAGCCTGCTCCTCCCGGTCCAACGCTTTATCCAGCACCAGCTCTGGGAACTTCCTGCCATCGCTGCGATCGCGAGTGAGTACGTGAAAGTGAGGGTCGGAGCTGATTGTGTAGCTCTGAAGACTGTTGCTACCAGTGTCTAAATCCTGTGCCATTTTCAAGGGAAATATCTTTCCTGGTGTAGTAATTTCTGATATTTTTAGTAGCATTTCTCTGGCTGGGAACTCTGGGGCGTGGTCATTTATATCTTTGATTTGTAAGGTAGCCTGAAAAAACTGCAAGGGATTTTCCAGTAATACTTGGAAGGGTAGCACACATGGTTCAGTGGAGCCGCACAGCTCCTCCCGATCCAGTTTCTCATTTAGACGCAAATCATAGGTCTGTGGGTCAATCTGCAAATGCTGCCTGTTCCCCTTGAAAACAACCTGGGCGCTGCGTGCAGCCAGCTCTCCTACCCTGAGTCCCAGGTCCTTTGTCAAGCTGGCCACAAACGTACCACTTTCTTCCTCTTCCCAGACAGAATACTGAATGGATTCCGAACCCACCTCCCACCAAAACATCAATATAATGAAAATGGCCACTTGCCTTTTCTTGCGATGTACTTTTGTTTGTGCCATCTCTGTTGTCATGTCTGGTGCCAGAAGAAAAAATCCTTTTCCACTCTCAGTCACCAACTCCACCGTCAACCCTCCAAAATGTCCTTGTTATAGAATTTCAAATCCTTCTGACAACTTGTCTGTCAACGACTGCCTTCCTGAACACTCCTAACTTAGCTTTAACTGTAAATGTGTTCTGTATTTTTTTCCTCCTTGGGGCTTCTGGTGAAATGGAGTCCACTGATTCTGCAGATCTTTTTATTCACTCTCTTAGCCTGCACTGCCACCACGCGTTCAAATCGTGAAGTGCTTACTCAGAAACATCCCAAATCTAAGCATTGTAGACTTTCATTTATAGATCAAGTCAGTGTTTCTCACACTATAGTGTGTGAACCACATTCATAAACAATTACCTCAGAATTTGTTTTCTTTTCTCAAATTCAATTCCTGGGCTTCTTCCCCTTCCAGATCTTGAATCAAATTTTAAATCTCAATCTTTCTCTTTGCTGCTCATGCATACAAACATTTAAGGGTCATTCCTTCATGTGATGTAAACTCTCTGTAATCAACTTATATTCTGCTGATCATTGTAAATTTTAGTCCCAGAAGTCCACCATTTAATTTTTCTAATCAACAATACAAAATCAGGAAGTTGGTTAGCAACACCAATGGTAAAATAATCAATCATTTCTATGAATTATGTGATTCATAAGATAGCACGAAAAGCAACGAAAAGCAACCCTTGCTATTTGATCACATCCGCAAGTAACTCGCAGCAAGTTGTTCGAAGGAGAATTGAGACCACTAGATACTTATGGTAGAATTATCTAACCAAATTAAAATATTTAGAAGAGAAGCTGGGAGCAACTAAGTATCTTTCATAAATGAGCATTTTAGGATTCCAGTTCATTTTTGTGTGTGTAGAATGGGTCACTATTTTAATAGAAGTATTCATTTTATTGTATTTGTTGGTCAAATTCCCCTTTCATATTCATCAAGATACAAATATATTATCCTGTTGTAAGAACATAATGCAATACAGAAAGCAAATGTTCAAGAAACACCTCTACTATTCTCTAACAAGGATGATGACACAAGGTCATAAATATAGGCTGAGTATAAGGTAGTTTAACAGGTGAAATACTTTTGAGTGGAATTCTGTGATGGAACATTTATGGTTATATCCATCCCTATATCACCAGTTTCTGCTTAAATTGACAGATTTCCTTGAGGATAAGAATAACAAGTAAACAAACTAATGAAGTAAAATGAACACTCATGGATTTCTTGGATGGGTTTTGTTCTTTCTCTGTAACAAAACTATTTCCAGTTCAATCCTAGATGCTTTTTCCTTTTAGTGGTATTCAGATACCAGTTTAGTGTTAATCTCTCACATCTGCAGAGTCCTTTATTCATTCTCTTTGCACGTACCACCACCAGCTATCCTCATATATATAAGTTTACTGCATTGTTTTTCATTTTAAAGCAAATTTATTAGTGGCACAGTATGTTTAAAACTCATTTTAGACCACTGAGATGTTTCCAAAAACATTGGTTGTTATAAAGAGAAAGAGGTTAACATCTTAATTTAATCCTAAAAGATATCAGCTGGGTATGTAGAGATGCTCCCTATTTATAGAAAATGGGCTATTATGGATTCCTTCAGGATAATGCTTCTGTTTTATTCTCTTTTGCTTTACTGAGACTTGCTAGAGTAGAGTTGAACTCTTCTAAACACATTTCCAGGGAATAATCCATCTCATATGATTTTGTTAAGGGAAAAGTCCAAAGTAAAAAGCATAAACTCCCATGTACACATCACTCAGGTTCACAACATTCTGCTTAAGCTAGTCCATACTTTCTTTTGCATCCTTGCTGATTTTCTCTCTAGTTGTTCTATCAGTTGTTAAGAGAGGGTGTTGAAGTCTCCAACTTTAATTGTGGATCTGTTTCTCCTTTCAATTCTCAGGTGTCTGTAAACATTTCTTCTAGTAATGTTTACAAAAACTGAAATGCACAAATCTTAACTATACCATTTGAACACATGAATCTGCCCACGTAACCCACACCTCTTTCAAGATACAGAACATTTCATCATTCACTGGGAATTATCTTAATCATTTTTAATAGCTTTCCCCTGCTATTTATGCTATTATATGCTAATGTGGAGAGATAGTTTTAAGATTAATTTAGCCAAATTATTACCTGTGGGTTGCAATAGTACTTTAGCTAATGAAACATTGGGCAGTATGGTAAACTTGATTTTATTTAGTTAGCTTATAATAATTACATAACTGATGAAGCTTATTTCCATTTTTATTCTATATGTTTTATTTTCCTTTCAATTATACTATTTAAACATTTTCAAATATATTAAAAATTAAAGATAAAACTAATCTTCAAGGATGAGTAGCATCTCTCACAAGTCTTCTTTAATTTAGCTATATGCAAAGAAAAACAACAATTCAGGGTAAAGATAGAGATGATATATAAGCGGCTACTTAAATCTTCTAATTGATGAAAGTTACTGCAGAATATCTTCAAAATATAAATGATTTGTCACTAAATACATTTGAAATCTCAAATGGCTGGTGATGAATTTTTGTGCAATAGAAGAGAAATATAAGAAACAGAAACAGGGCCTCCCCGGTGGCGCAGCGATTGAGCGCTGGGTTGCGAAGCTGCCCGAAGCCTCTGCAGCGCTGTTTTCGATCGCTCTACTGCCGCCTGCTACTCCCCTCAGGAGTGTACTTCGGTCCTTCTGCCTGCTCTGCTCCCCGCTCTGGCTCTGGTGAATTCTCTCACCCTCCTGTGCTTCTGACTGTACCTAGTGCTTGTATAAATAAATAAATAAATAAATAAATAAATAAATAAATAAATAAATAAATAAATAAATCTTTAAAAAAAAAATCCTTCAATTCTGATCATGGAATTATTTAAAAAAAAAAAAAACAGGTAGAAATAATTGGGTATATTTGATATCCAACAAACACAAGTCTCAGAAAAAGAAAAATTGGGAATGTAATTTTATGGAAATAATAGTGAATATGAAATAATCCCAGATATAAAAATGAATTAATTGTGATATACAAGATATTGAATGATGCATATAATGTATAAGATATTGATGAAGTTTAAAAGAAAACTAAATCCATTGTCAGATATGAAGAGACATAGACAGCTTATTTTTTGTGCACCTTCTCTTAGAAAGTCACCTGAGGATATGCTGTAACAAAGAGAGGGAATTTTTATAATGGCATTTTATTTATTTTTTTAAAGATTTATTTATTTATACAAACACTGGGGTACAAGCCAGAGGTGTGGGAGGGTGAGAGAATTCACCAGAGACAGAGCAGTGGGAGAGATAGGAGAGGCCTGCCCCACCACGTGGGAGTCTCCCTGGCAGGCAGGGAATCGAACCGGCATTGCAGAAGCTGTGGACAACTTCACAGTGCTGCATTCAACTCACTGTGCCACCCGAAAGTCCCAAGGAGAAGGAATTTTAAAAAGAAATAGGTAAGGATCTATCAAACAGTAGACTCAACTAGGAGAGGTATGAAGAAGATGACAGTTTTATTTGCACTAAGAGGTCATTTAGTCCAGATAGAAGCAGAAAGAGAGGGATTCAGGTAGGAAATATGCAAAGGTGAATTACTGATTTGAACATACTGAAAGATATGGTGAAGTCAAGTCTAAATGATGGCTAAAATAGTAAATCTATTGCTCTTGATTCTGGAGACATTCTACATTCAGTGGCATAGAAGACACAACAGGAGATTAAAAGAGCAGAAAATATGGCCCTTATCACTAATATGAGTCTGCAATGAACAATATTTTATTGTGGTAAAAAAACATAAAATTTATCATCTTAATTATTTTCAGGTATACGGTTCAGTAGAGTTGTCTGTTCACATTCACACGTTTTCATCTTGCATATCTGAAACTCTATACCTTTTTAAACAAAAATTGTCACTGTCCTCATTCCCCTAGTGCCTTGTAACCACCATCTTACTTTCTGCTTCTGTGCATCTGACCACTTTAGAAGCATCATATAAATGGAGTCAGGCAATATTTATTTGCCTTTTTGTGACTGGCTTATGTCACTTAAAACAATGTCCTTAAGGTTCACTTATGATGTAGCATGTGATAAGCTTCCCTTCTTAGGGTTGAATAATACTCCATTAAATGTATATACCACAGTTAGTTTCTCTATTCATCCACAAATGTGCATTTGGGTTTCTTCCACCACTTGCTATTGTGAAGAGTGCTGCTGCAAACACAAGTATGCAAATATTTCTTGGAGACCTTGCTTTTAATTGTATAGGATATGTGCCCAGAAGTAGAATTACTGGATTATGCAAAAGTTCTATTTTAAAATTTTCAAAGAAAATCCATACTGTTTTCCATAGCAGTTATACTATTTTACGGTCTCACCAACATTCCACAAAGGTGCCCATTTCTTCATACCCTCACCAACAGTTGTTATTTTCTGCTTTTTGAGAGTAGTCATCACAATGTGAGGTGATATTGAAGTTTTGATTTGCATTTCTCATATGATTAGTAGTGTTGAGTATGTTTGCATCTGTTTGTTGGTCATTTGTATGCCATCTTTGGGGAAATGTATCTTCAGTTCCTTTGTCCATTTTTAATCAAGTTCTTCATTTTTGGAGTTGTTGGAGTTTTTATATTTTCTGCACATTAACTGATAATTGGATATATAGCATTTGCAACTATTTTCTTCTGCTCCACAGGTTGCATTTTAATACTTTGTTGCCCCCAAATTTTGTAAAGTTTGAGGTAGTCTCATTTATCTGTTTTTGCTTTTGTTGCCTGTGCTTTTGCTGTCACATCTAAGAAGTCATTGCCAAATTAATATCATAGAAGCTTTTTCCCTGATAATTTCTTCCAGGGATTTTATTAGTTCAAGGCTTAAAATATATTTCTAGACAAAACAAGAAATTAATTATTCCCTATTAATTCTAGAGTAAAAAGTGCCATCAATTATGACTATATAAAAACCAGAGTTCATTTTAGAGATGTCTATAGATGCAAAAGAAACAACAGAAAAAATAAGAATTCTTTTCCACTACACACAAAAGATCAAGAAATATACTATTAGTGGAACAATCAATGGAAGTTTCACTTTGAGCAGAGACATACCAGAAAATAGTACAGTAGCTATTTGTGCAGGATGGGTGAGAAAGGTTTCAAGTGTGCTATGTCCTAAACGATAATAGCAGAAAATTAATTGTTTAAAGTTTGAAGAAAATTACAAACATATCCCTAAGTAATGGATAGTATATATTAAGTAAGAACCAGAAAATATAAGGTTTAAAACTGCTTTCAAAGAGATATAATGAAAAACAGACAACTAGATGTTGGCAAGCATGGTGAGGAACTAGTACATCTAGATACTGCTGATAACAGTGTAAATTAATACAGCACTTTGTAAAACTATTTGGAATTATCTACTAAGAGTAAAAGTGTACTTATGGAGCAGCATTTCACCCTTAACTATATACCCAACAGAAAGAAAAGCATACACACCAAAAGAAATGTACAAGAATGTTCAGGGCCTCCCCGGTGGCGCAGCGGTTGAGCGCTGGGTTGTGAAGCTGCCCCCGGCCTCTGCTGCACCGGTTCAATCCCTGGCTGCTCCCCCGCCACCAGAGGAGGGTCCCACATGGCGCACAGACCTCTCCTGCCGCCCGCTGCTCCCCTCAGCAGTGTACTTTGGTCCTTCTGCCTGCTCTGCTCCCCGCTCTGGCTCTGGTGAATTCTCTCACCCTCCCGCGCTTCTGACTGTACCCAGTGCATGTATAAACAAACAAACAAACAAATAAATAAATAATACATGCCTCTTTTAAAAAAAATTTTTAAAAAATGTTCAGAGTATTATTGTAACAACCAAATTTTGACTCATTCAAATGGATGGTAAATAAATTGTGAAATACTCATATAGTGGGATACTGTAGAGCAACAAAAATGAAGAATTAAAAGTAGTATGCATAAATGTCACCTGTAACATAACATTAAGTGAAAGACACAAAATATTTTATACTCTACTATTCCATTTGTATAAATTTTAAAAAGGCAAAGCTAAACTATAGTATTGGCACCTAGGCTATTTGTTATACTTGGAATAGTAGAGATTTTAAGAGGTAATGTGAATGGCACCTGGGATGCTAATTGTGTTTCATTTTTCCTCAAGATGTTGATTCCAAGTATGTACAGTTTCTGAAACACATTGAAATGAACATCAAGGATTCTTCACTTTTCTGTTTGTATGTATAACTCAATAAAATGTTTGTTTAAAAGATGTTTGTCAGTGCTGATGAGAACAACCACAGAAGAGTAGATAAAAGATAATCTTATCGTCATGCTTTCTCTCCTACAGCATTCTTTATCATAGGCATGTATTCCTTTGAAAGCAAAATGAAAAAAGGAGGGAGAAAAATGAAGAAAATTATGTAAAACAATTTACTTTAGATAGTTCGCATTGAATAAACTTCAAATGTGATGAAACAGATAAACAGAATATCGAGAAAATCAGTTGATTTTTATTAAGAATCTCAACAAATAACAAGAGGAGTAAACATTTTGGGAAATTCAACAGCATGCATGAATTGATAATGGTATTGTATGAATAAGTGCAATGTTGTAGAATTGAGTTTTCCAAAAGTAGCCAAGATAAAGTTCAAAAGAACTAATTACAAAAGGGCAATCAATGCTATGCTTGAAGGTGGAATTTTTCTCCATGATGTTCCCAATCCTGGGATCTGGGAAGTTAGAGATAAATGACTAAATCATAGCATCGTGATTGGATTCCTAATTGAACCCAAAGCTATTCCGGAAGGTGGCTTTTCCCTCTATTTCCTCCCCAGCGCCCAAAGCGGAAGGTTAGGTAAAATGGGCTTCAAGAACTTGAACTCGTTGGTCCCTGAGCCCCCCGTCAGGCACACCTCATACTGGTAGCTGTGGGACAGCGTCCCGGCGCCGCCCACGTCCACCAGGCGGCCCGGGAAGGGGCCGTCGGGCCCCAGCGAGCCCGCGCGCGCGCCGGCCCCGCGCCTCCCGCACAGGCGCGCGGCCGCGAAGGCGAGCGCGCACAGGAGGAAGAGCGACGACACGGCGGCCAGCGCCACCACCAGGGACGCGGTGAGGCGGTCGGCCTGCGCGGCGGGCGGCGGCGCGTCGGGCGGCGGCAGGTAGGGCTGCGAGAAGCCGTCGACCAGCAGCACGTGCAGCGTGACGCTGGCCGACAGCGGCGGCTCGCCGTTGTCCTTGACCAGCACGACCAGCCGGTGCTTGGGCGCGTCGCGCTCGCCCAGCGGCCTGGCGGTGCGCACCTCGCCGTTGTGCGCCCACACGCCGAACAGCCCGGGCTCCGTGGCCCTGAGCAGCTGGAACGACAGCCAGGCGTTCTGGCCCGCGTCGCCGTCCACCGCCACCACCTTGGTGACCAGGTAGCCCGCGTCGGCCGCGCGCGGCACCAGCTCGGGCAGGGCGCCGAGGCGTTGGGCGGCGGGTAGAGCACGGAGGGCGCGTTGTCGTTGGCGTCCTGCACCACGACGCGCACCCGCGCCTGGCCGCTGAGCGCGGGCGAGCCGCGGTCCGTGGCGCCCACCAGGAAGTCGAAGGCGCGCAGCGCCTCGTAGTCGAGCGAGCGCAGCGCGAACAGCTGGCCGGTGTCGGCGTTGACGGCCACGAGCGCGGCGGGCGGCGGGTGCGCGCGGCCGGCGGGCAGCAGCGAGTAGGTGAGCTGCGCGTTGGAGCCCGCGTCGGCGTCGGTGGCGCGCACGCTGCCGATGTGCAGCGCGGGGCTGTTGTTCTCGCGCACCAGCAGCGTGTAGGCGCTCTGGCTGAAGGCGGGGGCGTTGTCGTTCACGTCGGACACCAGCACGGTGATGTGGTGCTGGGTCCTCAGCCTGGGGGTCCCCAAGTCCGTGACCGTGATCGTGATGTTGTACTCGGCCTGCCTTTCTCTGTCCAGCGGTCTCTCTGTTTCCAGGGTGTAGAAATTCTTGAAAGTTGGTTTTAGAATGAATGGCAGGTTATCTGGAATGGAGCAGGTCATCTTTCCATTGTCTCCAGAGTCCCTGTCTCTAATTCGGAAGATGGCGACTACCGTCTCAGGAGCATTTTCTGGGATGGAGTCAGTGAGTGAAGATATGATCAGTTCAGGGGTGTTGTCATTTACATCCACCACCTCTATGACTACAGTGCCTTTTCCAGAAAGGCCTCCTCCATCTGTAGCCTCAATTTGCACATGGTAAGTTTTAATTTGTTCAAAATCCAATTTCTTTGTCAGTGTGATTTCTCCTGTAACTTCATTTATGGAGAAAGTTTGTTTAATTTCATCTGATGCTTGAAACAAACCATAAGAAACACTTCCGAAGTTTCCGGTATCTATATCCCTAGCTAAGACAGTAAGTATTGGAGAGCCTAGGGGGCTGTTTTCCAAGACCTGCACCTCATATGGGGTGTGCAAAAATTCAGGGGAATTGTCATTGACATCCATGACCTGAATTTGCACAGTGATGGTGCCAGACCTGGGTGGAGACCCGCCATCCACAGCCATGAGAGTTAAACTAAACTCAGCCTGCTCCTCTCTATCCAGCTCTTTGTCCTGCACCAAGGCTGGGTATTTCTTGCCCTCGCTCTGATTTTGAGTGAGAACATGAAAATGAGAATTGGGACTGATAGTATATTTTTGAAGACCATTGCTGCCCACATCCAGATCCTGAGCTAACGTCAGTGGAAACAGAGTCCCAGGAGGGCTGTTTTCTGGTATTTTCAAGAGCATTTCCTTTGTCGGAAATACTGGGGAGTGGTCATTTATGTCCTGGATTGATAATTCTCCTTCAAAAAATTGCACGGGTGTTTCCAGGAACACTTGGAAATGCATTATACAAGGTTCAGTGGGACCACATAGCTCTTCCCGGTCTAGTTTCTCCCTCAGAAGCAAATCTCCAGTCTGACGATCCAGCTGCAAGCCAAGCTTGTCATTGTCAGACACCACCCTGGCTGACCTGGCAGCCAGCTCCCCAACTCCCAAGCCCAGCTCCTTGGTTAAATGGGCTACAAAGGAGCCGCTCTCTGTTTCTTCCAGCACAGAATAGCAAATGGGCTCTGGGTCAGCTTGAGACAAGAACACCACCATAAAAAGGAAGATCACTTGCCTGTTTGGTTGAATTTTCTCAGGTGCCTCCATGTTGGAGCCGAGGTGCTTACATCCAGTCCCTTCAGCAACCACAACAAAGGCTAGAGATATTTCTGGTTTTCTATCCGTTCAAAGTTGCTTTTAATCATAAATTCGCTTAGTATATCGCTGCACAAAGTCGTTGGTAACCCAGTACAGCTGGCAACAGCTTCTTCCGTGTATTTTTAATTCCGTATTGTGACGAAGGAATACGTGAGCTTTTTAGGGCTTTTATTCCCAATCTTAACCCGCAGCGCCACCCTGCGTCCTGCTTGAGAAGCTAATATTCTCAAGTCAAATCGTACCTCGCAAATTGTCAAAATGTGAGCCACTTGAAAGTGTATGGAACTTTCACAAACTTTGTTATGCAATAAAACTGTTATTCATAAGGTTATTCCATTACATTGTAAAAGCTAGAATAATTATGAGCACAAAGAAAATATCTTGGTCTCCCTATATCCTAGTCAATGGAACTTTAAAGGACTTTATTTCTCCCTTGCATAATCTAACCAGGAGAGAGAAACACATACAATTTCAATTCCTAATAATCATATATATTTATTTCCAAATGTGTGAGGAATTTATGATGATGCAAAGGTTTTTTAAGGTGTTCTGTACCACTGTCTCAGGAAGACTGTTTTTCAAATTAAAAGGTTCTATTTTCCTATGTTGGGGGTGAAAATAATAATATAGTTGAATGAAGAGGCATATTGCTGTGCTATGGGTCCTTTACAAATACTAGCTTATATTACATTTAGAAGGAAGTCACATGGTATTATCGAATCAGATTAATAGACCTGGAGAAAAAACAAAATAGGTTTTGCAGATAAGGAAAGGGACTGTCAGAGGGTGATAGGACTTGATTATTCTGCTTGACTAATTAACAGGATAATATCAAGACAAAATCAAGTGAGTAAAATCATACAGTTTTGCTAAGATAAAGGTTTTAAGCTTAAGCTTGTTTAGCTAGATACATATTTATATTTTGTGATGAGCTTGCTTCTTATATTTGTCTTTGTATCCCAGACATTATATTCTTTGACCAACTGTTAAGGGGAAAACAAGAAAACCTGACTTAAAGCATTTAAGTCTGTGTACAGAGGGTATCTCCGGCCTTGTCTACTCATATTGGTAAAAAGAGAGGCTTGTTTATAAAATGGATTCCTGCGTAATAAGCAGTTATTGTGATTGCCCTGCTACAATAAGTCAATTGAGACAGTTAACTAACCAGTTTATTATTAGTTACAATTAGTATATTGAGTGGAATACTACTAATCCTGTCACATATGGGCATTCCTGTCCTTAAATATCTCATAATTTAACCTAATTACTTAATTAACTTAATAAACTATGATCCATAATTCATATTGAATGAATTATTTTAAGAACATATCGATAATCTTAGATTCAGATAGTGATA